CTTGGGGCCCAAAAGAAAGCACAGAGCTGACTGCAAGAAAGCTATGGGGATTTTTATCTTCCCTTTCTTTAACTGCTCAACAACATGAATATAAAGCTACCATGTTAAAAAAAATGAGTAGGAGATTCCTGTGCTGTCTCAATGGCATCTCGGTGGGCTACAGTGGCGTAAGCCGCTTTATCGCTCAGGTAGAGGTCCGTGATGGAGAGCATGGGCAGATGGATGGCTGAAGACCTCAAAGCAAAATTCAGGCCATCAAAACAATGCAACTGCTTAAACCAGGCTCAGCTTATCCATCCAGAGACTGGGTGCACATGTATGGGTGTGTGCCACGTGCTGGACCAAAGCAGCTCTACAAAGTCTTTTCTCTCAAAATCGACCTTGTAAGATAAAAAAAGCTTCAAAAGAATAATAAGCCTTCAATGCCACAGTCTGTTCTTTCTCTTAGGAAGATACAGACTTCAGCCAGTGCAGAGGACAAGGGGAACAGGAGCACATTCCCCCTCTGAGGCGTGAATCACTTCCCTGCCTGGAAAGCCCCTTCTCCAGCCCCCCGGCCCCTCTCGGCTCAGCAGGGCGGACACTGGGCTCAGTCTTCAGCGCTTCCCAGCCGAGCACATCGCGCAGGGACTACATGCTGGTTCACTCGACCTTCCAGGACTTCAGCTGGGAATTAACATTTAATTAATTTGTTTCCTTGTAAACTCCATCTCTACCACACCCATTTCCAGTTTCAGCAGCAGGCGCTGCTGCTGGGCCCTCCCTCTGCTCCATGGCTGTCACGGGGATCAGACCTCACGCCACTCCCGGGCCATTACTCTGTTACTCACAGAGTAGGTTTAGCTTATTGCAAAAGAAAGAGGTGCATAGTGCCCAAAGGGACCACCGTGGGACACAGCTTCTGCTTGGGCCAGGGAGAGACTTTATTTATCTGTAGTAACCCTCACATACTGAACTCTGAGTTAGAAGCGAGCTTTTATGCTTTTATTGCACTAACTTGATTTCCTATCAGTCTGATGGGAGAGGAGGGTTGCAAAAGGTTATCAATGTTTTGCATCTTGCAAAACTGGAAAATATCAATTTCCTGCAGACATCAAGGCCTAGACTAGAAAAAGTTCACTTGAAAAAACTGCACCGTATAGCTTGTATGCACAGTTTTTAAATATACACACAGTGACTGCTGCTGCAGAGCAGCCGCTGTACAAAAGTCACGGTAGCAGCATACCCAGGTTATGCAACTGCATTTTCATTCCTGTGTCTTGCCATACCTGTATGTGTTTTCTTTCACGTCTGTTTTTCCTCTTAGTGCTCCTTCAGGTCTACAACTCCCATCTATCTCCAAAAATCCCCTTATTTTAGTTCTGCGCTCATGGCAGCAGTGGGCAAAAGAGAACTTCTTGTTGTTACTGCAAACTAAAGTCAGGCTGGTAACCCCAAGCGCGCAAGCTGGCTCCCTGCTCCCATGAGAGAAATCACTGATGCTGGTCAGACACTAAACACAACAAAAAAGGCAACTCCATTGATAACCAGCGATTCCCTCTGAAATCCTTATGCTGCAAATTCTGCTGATGAAATTCCTCTATTTCCTTTTATTCCTCTTTCCACATCTTATTCACACACTCCTTGTGCTGGTGGCACTTAGGGTGATACCCAGGTGTGGGGCAAGCTCAGGCAGGTGCCAGGAAGCCCCCTGGAAATGAAGCTGTTCCTAGCAGACCTGGAGTCGGTCCCCTGCAACAACAATTCATTCTTAAAAGCAGGAACATTCAAGCAGTAGAAAGACCCAGAGTGACCAGCAGCACACAGTGCTAAATATTTTCTGTTGAAAGAACATTTTTCCCAAATAGAAAGGTTTTTTCCAGTGCTAGCAATGGTGGTAGAGAGACCCCCAGTGGCTGGGTGCAACGTAAGCCTCATCCTTCACAGCCCCACCACCCCTTGGTGCCCCTCAGGAGGGCCTGGGGGGAAGGAAGGACAGCACAGCTTTTGGGGCCGCTAAGAAGAGCCCCTCTGGGTGAGATGGGGCAGGACATCAACGCTTCTCCCAGCGCCACACCAAGCTGTGACCGTCCTCGGTGTCCCTCTGAAGTGGGGGGGACTACCTGCTGGGCTGCTTTGGCCAGCAGTGGAAATACAAAACAAGATAGACGGTTGCTCTGAGTTAAAAAGAAGTTTGCGTTTCTAGCCTAAAAGATCATTTGCCTCTTTCGATTTCACTTAAAAGAGTAGTTTTTGTTTTATTGGTTTTAAACTGGGTTGGCAAGGACTTTTTAATAAAGTCAGACCAAACTCTGAAAGAATATCCATGGCTCAAAACTGTATTTGCAGCAGATAAACTATTCATGTAAAAAAAAAAAAAGAAAACAGGAGTCCTATTTTCCTTACAAGAATGCATGCACACTGGACATAAACCCTGAGTATTAATAATGCAATGGCAAATTAGATGAATAATAATAATAATAATAATAATAATAATTCAGTGTTACTTGTGACCATGCAGATGCACTGACAGCTGATGCAGCAGCAAGCCAAGCCATCCTCAGTCAAACCAAACTCCACCTGCCTTGTGAACCAGCCGGGGAATCAGTGGTTCTCATCCAAGGAGCTGCTGCCACAGGCACAATGGGTGACGCAGCTGAGGGCGCGAGAAGACGTGGGGTGGATACTTTGCAGATCCAGAGTGTCCTCTTTGCTGGACACACACCTGCTGTGATGTTTCCATCCTCAAACAGCAGCAGCTCAGCATTCACTACAGCAATCCATATAGACACATCAGGCTGATCAAGAGGAAACATCAACAAGCCGTAACACAGATGTGCAAAAAGTAACACTTACATAACAAGGAGGAACTTTATCACGCAGTGAAAAAGCAAAACATTCTGTTTTTCATTACCAGTAATGTTCTGCTTTGTTCTGATGCACCATCACAGAGCAGATTTCAGTGGAGGCCAATTCAGGAGTCCCTGCTAGAAGGCCAGTCCCACGCACCAGCGCCCCGAGAGGGCTGGCCTCGCCGCAGGCTGCCGACCCCAGCTCCGCCGCGGGGCTTCATCTCAGAGCACCGCGCTGGCCATAAAAACTTGCAGTTGATCAGCTTTGTTTCTACTCCGCGGTCCCGCAGGGAGAGCTGCATTTTAATAAACATAACGATAGTTAGAAACAGACTTCTTCAAAGGGCTCTGCAAACATAACTCAATCCTGGCATCACCAGGAGACAACACAAGCGGTGTTTGTACAGATGGGGGATGGCAGGCAGGGAGGTTACGCGTGCTGCTGCCCCTCAGAGGGTTCGGGATTTGGGGCTCACATCAGGCCTCGTTAGCTTACACCCAGCTGCTCCCACCACGCCACGAGGCCCCACTCCAGCCCGCAGGCCA